GTAAAACTAATTGGTTTTGTGTGTTTTTGATAATTGCACGAGATGCACGTAAGCCATATTATGACAGAGGAAAGAACAATTTTTATAAATGAGATGCAGTAAATGACAGCATCTTAAAGTCTATTAAAGGTTAGAATCAAACAGTAAAACAGAGCTCTGCTCTATTAGAGGAAGAGTCTTAAGAGTATTTACCAGAGACCTTTACAGCACCAGCCCAAGTAGAGTCACGAGCAGTGTTTTCAGTGGAATTCACTCATTGCCAGAACTGTTTGAAAGGAAACATGAACAAGAAAAATCTCAACTCTCACTTTCTAATCTTAGCAGATTCTTGTGCGTACAGCCAACCACGTTAGCAGTAGGTAGCACTTCACGTGGTTTCTGTAACTTGGCTACTTGGATGAGTGCCCCTTCTATATAAGAAAAATAACAAAGTTAGAGGGTATCAGGCAGCCAGCCAAATGGCAGACAATTAAAGTATTTCAAGGACTCCCAGGTAAGGGCTTTAGAAATAAGTTGACAGCTGTTAAGCTTGTCTGTATTTTGAGAACAAGGAAGATCCATTTTCTACTGCAAATTTGCTCATTTTGGTCATGGAAACATGGCTGTTCCATATTAAGCAACACACGTCAGAACCTGGGATAACAGCACAGCACCCTGGCTGGATAGAGCCAGTCTGATGCTACTTTCCCAGCGGTTCTGTGACCTGAAATGCACTAAGATACCTAGAGGAAGACAAGGGGAATAGAAGTCTTGGAATTACAGCACTTGGGAACGACACAAATTTCACACGATTCCTTTATCATTATGCTGGATATTTCTCTTCTGGCAAGCTGGAGGAAGAACCGATATTTAAAACACCAAGATACAGAAACTGACTGAAAAATATTTAGCAACTAGCTACCAGCTAGATCTACCTGTAAAAGTCATCCGCTGGTGCCAGGCAACCTGGTAGGTTCACAGGGAAAGGTAATTTCAAGAGAACAGGATGAACTCCACTCGATGCACCATCAGTTTGGGGTATATAAAAAAAAGAAAGACTGGCTGGTGGGAAAGAATTCCATAATGAACTGGGGCTAGTAAAGCTCAAAATCTTAATACATGGGCAGAGTTTCCCCATCAGACATGGGCAGAAGATGTCACTGAAGCACAAGGGTTCCTCTGAGCATCTAGAAACAGCTGATTATTGCCATATGCTAACCCTCATTGCTCAGGTCAGCAACACTCTGACACGTAAACTGCACAAACACGCTGCTCTTGGTAGAGGTCATAAAGCTTGACAAAGAACATAAAACACTTCCTGGGTTTTCATCCTTTCCATATTATTCCACTCTCCGCTATTAAATATGTTTGCAACCAGTTTCTAAGCAGAGAAGTGGTGGAGTCAGATTTTTCCTGCGTCTCACACCAAGCTCTTAAGAAAAAAAATCATGAAGAAAAACAGCTGAGAGGCTTGGAATACTAAAATTTAAATTTCACATACAAAAATCATCCTTCGTGTATTTTATTTAGCTGAAATGACAGAAAGGAAACATTTGCTCCCGAGATAACAAAGAAGCCCTTAAAATCTCCCCAGTAATCCAGTCCTTGCCAGGTTCACCCGTTCTTGTACTGTGTAACCACCAAAAACAGGAAGCCCACCTGCCTACCAGGCAGTCTTTTACATCAATGTGTATTATACTGAGAATTGCTAGAAAGAAGAAAATGGCCACGGTTTTGCCACAAATGGAAAAAAAAAAAAAAAAAAAAAAAAGAGGCAGACCTGTAGAGTTTGACAGACTACCGAAAATTCTACATGAATCCTAGAATAATGTATAACAAACATTATATCCTCTTTCAAAATCCAGACTGATTGACAAGTTAATTCATAGGATTTTTGTTTTGTAAAATCAGGTTACCAAAAGTTCATGTACACATAAAGACATGTAGACTCACCCTAGAGGCTCAAAAAAACGGTCTTTCACTTTTTCCCCCCGTTCTTTTCTTTCTCTAAATGGTCAGAAAAGATAATTTTTCTGTGCAAATCCCTTGGGTTTAGCTCCAACCATCTCCACAAGAGGCACAGGAGGAAATAAAAAAAAGCCCAACATAACCATCTGTACGTTGTATTTGTATCAAGGCAGAAATGCAGAGAAGTATGTTAAACTACATCCATAATCATAAGCGGCAAGCTTTCAACACTAGATTTGTTCTATTTGCAACAGAAAAACAAGCAATAAATGTCACAGAACCGCATCAGTTCAGAAGCTCTTTTTGGTCTTCTAGTTAGGATATCAGTTCCACCACCATATCTTGAAGAGAGTAAAAAACAAATTTCCACACTAGACAGACATCTTCAAGTGCGTTAAACCTCGGAATACATCACTGAGATGCATTTAAGTCATTGCTGACTAACTAGAGACTGCTAATACATTGAAGCAAGCTGATTTTTAGTCCAAAGTTTGTTAGAGGTATTATCAGAAGCATTTTTTTTTCCTTTCAAGAAGAAGGGACGGGAAGGGAAAACTGTTAAAATCAGATGTTGAAAAACAGTCAGTGACTTTCTAGTTATCTCTGACCAGCACAAGCACACAGGATTAACCAGACTGCTGAGGGCTCTAGGCACACACTACAGTAGCACCTGCTTCATTGGTTTTCCAGCTAAAAAGGGCTGGGAACAGCACAGAAGCAGCCAGCCTGCCTGAGCAAGGGAAATTAGCGTAATAGGAATATATGGAAAAGTAACACAAAAAGAAAGAAAAGGTTATATTCATGAGAGAAAAGCACTAGCCTTAGTCCACAGAGTAGAACATCCACTTTCTGATTTTATTCTTAGAATTTCTGGCAAAGAACTCCCGTAATAAAATATCAGTATACGGTAAACTTTATAAAGAAAACTGAAGTGGAAAATATGCCCTCACCTTAAAGACAAGAAACGAGGCAGGAAATCAAATCAATGGTCTGTTCAGCCCGATGGCTCTAGTTTTTATGAATCAGGGTTACTGAAGTACTTCTCCCTGTAAAAGAAATTGTTGAAAGGATTACTGTCTTATATTAGTGCATAATTGACGGAGGGACGGACAACAAATGCATACTACATTAGAGTCCTGCAGCGTGAGGAGAATACAAACAAGCACGGGGTTCATTTCCACGTGTTATTTATATAGGTTCGACAATGTTTCCACCAATACACCAGCGAAGGTCACTGGCCATCTCTGAACACGGAATCACAAAGTTTTCAAGGTGAGCATTCAAAGATGCCTTTAAACATTTGAGGCTATAAACAAAATCAATTTCTCAAAACCATCTACCTTTCCTAATTAACCGATTTAGTGATGGAAATCATGACCTTTAATAAAAGGCATCTGACATGACGTTTCGTAACGTACTGATCACTGTTGCTGCGGTGAAAGTGACTGAAGTAGACACATAATCCTTTCATTAAATGTAAAATGAGTAACAGCATGATCAAAAGTACATATGGTTTGCTCTGAATTTCATCTTCTATAAACTCATTTAAAGCAGTTATGAGAGAACTGTGGAACATAGATGGAAGTTATAAAGCTTCTCTTTCTATATGAAAGTTTCTGTGAACAATTACCCCTCATTTTGGAGTCCTGTCAGGTGATTTACTCATCAATGGGTAAGAACAATTGTCTGACAAAAGCTTCTAATTAATCCCACTTTCAAAATTTCCCAACACAATGAGACAGAAATCTTTGTGACTGCAATTCGATACACTTTTTTTGATCAAAACAGGGGTGAGGGGTGGGGGGAGCAGGGAAAAGCTTTTAAGGTGCTTCGAAAAGCTTCTTAACAACCACAGTGGAAGAAACTATAAAAGAAGGTAAAAAGTGTCAACCACATTCAAACAGAACACAATGAAGGAAAAAAACTTTAAAGAAAGCTGAAGCCTGCTGCTGTGTCTAAGAATCCTAAAGATGTTACGAAAAGACACCACTTAGATAATTTCAAAACTATTAACTTCCTGCCACCTCCACAGAAAACTACTCAACTACCGGGTACAATTTAGAATCTCCTCAAAGAGAGCAGAAAGCCACCAAACCCTCTTTACATCAGAGTACCGTGTCGACATGTAACACCCAAGTGACCTTTGACTGAAGTTCCATTAATCGCATTTAACTTCACATTAACTGGGAAGGGAAGAAGAAACCTCTTCAGACAACACAGATGCAGCAAGTTCAAAAGTACAGCTGAGGCTTCGTCATGATCAGATAGAGAAATCAAAATGGTCTGGTGAAATAAAAAACCCACCCTGTATTTCCTCTTTGTTCTCTTCATCTCGGAAGGCCTGTAAGAGAGCAACCTGCAGCGCAGCTGAATTTGCTGTGCTGAACGTGGATCGCTCCAAACTCCCGTGCTGGAGCAGGGAAAGTCGTTCAGTGCAGAAAGAGAATTGACTTCCCATCGATGCTGAGCAGAGGGAGCCCAGCTTACTGCCAGCATAGGCTGCCTGCTGAAATGGAGAGGAAAGGAGTGTAGCAGGAGAAGTAAAAATCTACTGTGTAAAACTGTTAATTTCTGTTCTGCAACGCAAAAGTCCCTTAGTGGTAAAATGTACAATAAGGAGCAAGTATACTAGACCTACTACACTTCCTACTATGCACATCACCATATAAACTCGGCCATATTGAGACCCCCTAATTTAAGAACGCTCCATTAATACCTCTTGCACATTACCTCTCAGCTTGGCAAAGTAATAAAACTGCATTTGGAGACACAAAATTCAATCTGCAGACAAGGAACCTTATATGAAATAAAAATAAAAGAATTAAAAATTCCTAAAAAAAAAAAATAGCACGAGACCAGTTTTCTTTTATTCTGTTACTACTACATACTAATTAAAAATCAAAAATCAAGATTTTTTTTTTTGAATTTTTATTGACAGTTTTACAAAATAATCCTTAATAAATAACATCCTGAGCAGCACTCGAGACACGCCGTCTTCTGCTTCTTGGGTTTGTACGAACAAAGGTAGAAATCGCATTGAGTTCTTGGCAAGTTCACTGTAATGCAAGAACCTGTTGCTTATCCTCCAGAATTTCTTCCTCATCATCCATTTGGCTTTCAGCCCAGCCCCTTAAAAAAAACATACCACAGTGATTTTCAGCAGCTCAAATTCCTCAAGCTACTCTGCTTTAAGCCTTGGCGACATATGTTCACATATGTAGAACTAAAAGACAGGAAAATAGCTTTTGCTGCATATTTTGCAAGTATACACACATTACAAGCTACTATATTCAGTTTTTCCCCCCTCAGTTTTTGTCACACATATCTTCACCTCTTAAACAAGTAGGAAGTAAATAACATTGTCACTATTGTGCCTTAATAGAGAAATCCCACATCGCAGAACACGTAAGCTAGGAAAGCTCATTCACACTGTCTGCACTATTTGCAAACACTGTTCAGTTTTCTACTGACCTGCAATTTCAATATAATGAACACAAAACCAAAAAACCTCTCTGAATCAGCCACATTCACAGAGCATGCAGCTAACCTCACCGTGTCTCACTGACCCTTACTAGTGACAAGGTCACAGTAAGAAATCAATGATGACAGAACTTTGGGGAACTCCCTTGTTTCCAGTCACCTCCTCAGTCTCCAAGGCCATAACAGATATATCACAGACTATGGCGAGCGGAACGTTATCGGCTCACCAGCTCACAACTGTTCTTTTTAAAGGTACCTCACAAGCAAAGAACTTACATGATTTGTAAAAGATGCACTTCATAGATCTCAGTGCTGTATATCAACAAAAGCCAGTGCACTAAAAAAACCCCCACATAATCCCAAAATTTATAGTTTGGAGTCCCAACAACAAAATACATCACTCAATTCTTAATCTGAGCTGCCTGCCAGTACTGGCTTAGAACATCAAGATACAAAATAGGTCATACTGACTTCTGTAATCCACCTGTAAAGGACAATCAGAAAGTCAAGGCTGTTTTTATTTCAGTTCTGGCAAGATGTTTGGCATATTGAGCATTTTACAATACCATAAAAAGATGCTCGGCAAGTTTAACTTACCTGAGAGTGTCAAATCTGCTGCCTTTTTTTAGCTCCAGGTTTTTATGGAAACCTGTTCTATTTCTATGTATCTTCTCTGAGTGTCTGCCAGAGGAGGCTGCACCTTCAGAAGTTAAGCCGTAACATTTTTCAGGACCTGAAATATTTTAGGTCATTTCAGGGACAAATATAAACAAAAATAATGCAGTATCTACACTATCAATGTTAAAGAATTTCACGGTATCGACAAAAAACTTGCCATTAAAAGTCTCAAAAGAACTCCAGCTGAGGAAGCCTGTGATGTCACCACAAGTCCTCAAATAAATTATAACTTTTTATTACATGGCTCCTGCATCATTAGAAGCAATGGAGAGGGTTTGCTTCGAAGATGTTTAGGCAGTATGAATATGAATTCATATTTCATACAATCTGAAACCTTATGTAGGGAGCCCATGAAACCTATGTGACCTCAAAGTACACCAGCAAATGTAGAACCTGGGCAGCTGACTAACGGCAGCACATATTTAGAACAGAGTAACAGGATATACCCCAACACAGAGACATGATCAGCTGGGGTCACAGTCTGTGCTTCTTCATCAACACACATGCAAGTACGTTACTATTTTGCCAGCTAGCCAGAAGTCTCAGCTACCAAATTACAAATGAGTGAAAAACATTCCAAAGTGGAACAAAAAGGGAGAGAAAGAACGGGACAGTTCAACAATAACTTCTCTCCTTGTTCGTCTCTGAATACATGTTCATTCTTCAAGCATTACCACCAGAAACTCTTCCAAAAACACGAGTTCCGATGAGCACGTATCAAAAAGGGAAGGACAGCTGTCCTGAAATGTGGTATTTGGAAGCCTCCGAAGAGCTGTGTGAAAAAATACAGCAAAACCTAAAGCTAAAAACATTTTAAGATAGAACACTCTGGAATCCAGACTGCTTTTGTTTAGTGAAGATGCATCATCGCCAGGACCTGCCAACACAAGCACCATAGCACTCAGAAGGGAGGGACCATGTTACAGCCCAAGAGATGCAGTATATCAAGGTTGCTCATGGCACGAAGCATCTTACACACTCGATCTGTCTCCTCACCGAGATGGAAAGGAAACAACCCAATTGTTTGGAGTTTTTCCCCTCTTGTATTCAAAGAACAAAACCAGAACTCACTCTGCTCATGGCACGAAGCGTCTTAAGATGCTCGATCTGTCTCCTCACTGAGATGGAAAGGAAGCAACCCAATTGTTTGGGGTTTTTCCCCCCTTGTATTCAAAGAACAAAACCAGAACTCACTCATTCTGTTCAACCACAACCGACTGGCTTTGCCCGCCTGCCACTTCCCCCACCCCAGAAAAACAAGGAGATGGGTTTAAAAAGGCAGAGGAAAGGGGCTTGAGTCAAGCCCAAAATGAGAGGTAATGCCATGTCTACTGCGCCTTACTAGAGATGGTTCTCCTCAGGACAGATTTATAAAGTTTCCCGCCCATCACTTCCCCTGCTTGCTACCCTTGCATCAAAGCAATCAAACTTCTAACAACGCCTGGGCTGTTTGTTGTTAAATACCCAAGGAAAGGATACCTATTTAAAAGAAATTTATGGCCTTAAATAGTATCTAGCACATCCTGCAGATTTTTGCAAAAACCACAAGGGATAAATAAGACAAGTCGCGTGAAACACTTTGCTTCTACTAAACGACGGGTCGGTTCGAGTACGATCAAATGGAACCAAATTACCGTTCAGCCACAAAAGAGCTTTGCATCATCCAACGGTTTAGTACGTTCTTGTATCACAATCAGTTAGATCTGAGAAGGCAAACGGAATAGCTACTTGTTTTCACTACCTTACTTGTAAGTACAAGGGGGGAAAAAAAGCTGTACTGCCACTTACCTGTATAACTTTGTAATTCTTTTTCCAGAGTAAGCAGGGCTTCTTGGTCAGCAATATATTCCCAAAGACACTCGTCTTGTTTCATTACATCAAGGCACTTGGGTTTTGATAGCTCAGTATCAACTCGACACGTATCCACAGGCGAACTCTTTGGTCTTCCATGCGTGTTTGTTGGACCATTTCCAGTCAGTTTACAGCGTCGCATGTTTGTTGACCAAGGTCTTCTAGAATCGTTCCCTGAAATACCAGAAAAGTTCACAACTTCCATTAATTCAAGATTTCACACATAAAGAGAATTTCATCTCAGCTCATTAATGACGTTAACTGTAGTTAAAACTATGAATTGATCTGAACAGACTATTGATTTTGCTTAAGAATGTGAATTAATAAGTGTTAATAAAGAGTTTCCAATTATATCAGGAAGTAGCACCTCACACCTCAGGAGTATCTTTCGAAAAAAAACTATATATATTTAAATATTATGTACAATGGCACAAATTTGGGGGGAGGGGAGAGACTCATGATGCGTCTAGAAAGCTTAAAACTTTGGTTCTGTCTTTTTTTAATTTGAGGCAACATGAATATAATACAGACACTTTGAAATATTTTTCTAGGATTCAAAATTGACAGTTTCAATTTCCGCACATAGTGTTTTCAAAATTAAAATGCCAAACTGGTTGCTTAAGCTGAGAGAAATAGCATAAGCTACATTCCTTGAGACGGAGACAGTTGAAATTGAGAAAAGTAACTAAAAAGTGCAGACGCAGTTATGCATTACTTGTTTCCTTGTTTCTTATAGTTCATGTAATAAGCAGTAACATAAAAAAATCTTTTATTAGATCAAAACCATATTGTACTAGATGCTGCAAAACACACAGTAATACATAATCTTGTTCTAGACAGTTTATTATCTAAATATTGAAGCTAAGAAGGGAGTAATGGAGTAGAAGCAGGGATAGAAAATAAGCACAATAAAAAGAATTATTAGTGACAGCTGGAAAGAGATAACTTTTAACTCAAAAGCCCGTTCCTATGAAAACAATGCCATGTATACAATAAGCCATTATACCCAAAACACAAATACTTAGATGAAGATTTAAAAATTACCTAAATTCAACAGAATCACCATAGTCAGCACTTCCACTTTTCACATATGGAAAACGAACCTGTTAAAGTAGGACCTCAAAGCTGTTGCTGTCCTTACCTGGGTATGAACTCCACGCTGCCATCAGGGGAGAAGTTCTACTGTGAGTCTCCAAACCACTCGAAGGTCTATTCAGCCAACTTTCTAAGACACCTTGAACTACAGAGTCATCAGCAAATTCCCTTAAGCTCCTTTCAGTAACCCACTTCCCATCTCCTGAAATCAAAAAGTATGAGGAAATTATTTGCAGGTTTTGTGTTAATATGCATTTGCTGTTACTATATTCGCTGCATTTAAGCTGTGTGATCTGAAGAACTCATGCAACAGATTTCCTACACATAATGTAAAAAGAAAAAGAGGTCATATTAACACACTAACAAGCTTAAATTCAAGTGATAGACTTGATGGAATCGATATTCACGTTCACCAATCATTTCACACGCTGTTTCACATACACCACTAAAAGCATTCTTTAGTGATGTATATTACGCAAAAAGAAAAGTGGAAATTCCTACCAGGACCAACCTCCCAAGGGATACAAAGAGCCATATAAATCTATGGCGCTATACCGACGCAGTTTACCTCAAGGTAGTAAGTTTATTTTATCCTTCCACAGCACCAGTTGTGCATGTCGGCATGACTGCTACCTCAAAGTGACTTCTAAAAGTAAGCTAGATCCGAGTTACCCAAAGAGAGGGATGTCTTACAGAAACAGTGATAAATATGGATATTGTTTGAGGATTTTATTCACAAGGCATTACCTGGAAACAGGATACTACTCTCCACAGGGCTAGAGTCAGCACACACTGAAGAACATGCTTCAAGCATTACTTGTTTACAGTTTGCACCTACGGCAAAGAAGCCTTCAAATCCACAATACTGTGTAGAAACAGGTTTCTGTCTTCTGGCTACATCCTGTAACTCGAATAAAACACAGATATTAGAAACAGGAAACTTCATAAGTTGCCCTTGCAAGTTTACATTAACAAAATGCTCCTTTCATAAAACTTGGAATGATTCTGATAGCCTGGTGTAACAGATAGACACAAGGATGATTGTTTTGCATGATATTTGCTTTAAAATCCTATAAGCTTCCATTGCTAACGTTGTGAGAGTTTGAGTCTGTTCTTCCACTGATTGAATGGGGACAAGAAAAGCAGTTCTTGCTCATTTTCACTTACCCTTGTGCACATCAGCTAACGTCATACTGTTTAACTAGGACTCCAAATGTAACGTCTCAACCTCCTCCATGATTTTTTGCTTTCAATTTGATGTTCAGCAAAAGAACATTTGAATTATTGAGGTTAGATAAGAGTATCTACAATTTTTGGCATTCAACCATGAGGTGAAGTGACCTTAATATGAACATGGGAAGAGCTGCCTTCTCCCCCGATGCACCTTTTTTTTTTTTCTTTTTTCTGAGACTAACTGGTTCTTTCTTTTGCTTTTTTTGAACATCGAGAGAAGACTGACAATACAAATTGGAAAGTACGGGGGCCTTCATCCCCTACAGATGAAATACAGTAGGCAGTGACAATCCTCTGACTAAAACTCTACTCTTGATTGCTTTAAGAGGAGGAGAGGGGGTCTGGAGGAGAATGGAGAAAAGCAGTAGAATATTTCACGGTAACCATATAACAATCATTATCTCTCTACTGATTCAGCAACATATGTTGCCTCATGCAACTGGGAAAATAGATTAAGCAACATAATTTATCTATTTAGCAGTCAAAGATAAAATATTTTACCACTGAAGACTTTGTAATTACAGGCAAAACCAAACTCTGGCTATTGCAGACGCTGCCTGGTTCCTGTGAAGCTTTATTGGGTTTCTGCAGTTGTGTCTCAAGGAGATATTTGTTGCTTATTAGTTCAGCAGAGCTCAAAATCTTCTCAGGTAGTTTACAGGAGCTAAGTGATCTTCTCATAGTCTTCAGTTTAGTACTCTCCTTTTGCACTGCATTTCTTTCAAGACTGCAGACAAACATTTTTTCTACAAAAGCACAAAATAATTTATTTTTTTTAACAGAAATGACTATGAATTACAACCTGCAAGTCTACGATATTTTCTTCATCAACTTAAACTATGACACCTCCTTGAAGTTATCCCTAAGCCATAAAATTACCAATAAGAACAGTTAACTTTCATCAGCTTCCCGCCTGATAGCCACGAATGCCAACACACACGGACTAGACTGACCAGGTAGCAGTACCAGTTCCATACCTAATGCACATACTCCTGTACTCCACTGCCTACAAAAACATTAGATCTTGATAATAATCTTAGCACATTTCCAACTACTCCTCCAAGCTACTGTGGTTTGTTTGCATTTTAAATGCTGTAATCTAACCAGTGCCAGCATAAGAACTGCAATAGAAGCAATTTCTTAAAGTTTCCTTAAAAGTAGCACAATGGTTTGAAATACATACTACCAGGCTGTGAGTGATTCTGCAAGCTGTTTTTTCTTTGTTTATACAAGACACAGCCTTTTTTTTTTTTTTTTAATCCTGTGCCCAAAGAAGCACATAAATCACCCCTCATTAGTCAGCTCGTTTGCTTTTCCACATTTGAAGACTTAAATAAGCAGTTTCTTGAAGTACAAAGGGAAGGAGTGCGAGGTTCTGAAGTGCTGCAGCAATTGTTTGGTACTTGCAAGAATAAGAAATCAAGCCATCCTTACATTCCAACTTATTTCATCATATTAAAAAAAAGTTAAAATACATTCTACATAGTTTTCGGACACAGAGTAAGGTCTTTGGGATGCCTTAAGAGTGCCACAAAATAAAGCTGCCAAACTTTCATGGCAATTTCACTGACACACAACAAGCACTGGGATACTTACACACAAATTATAACCTTTCATGCAGAACAGGTAATCATTTATACAGTTTCTCAACCTATCCATATAAAAGCACTTTTCTTCATAAAAAGGACACGTGCCATACATTTAATCTAATATAGGACAGATAAACAGAGAGGTTTGTAAGATCACTTCATCTGCTTTATAACGGGTTTGTTTCCATTTGGGGAACATTGTTTGCCCATATTGGGGCAGCCTCTCCCTCAAATATGAGCTCACAGCTGTGAGATCACTGTCACAGTGGATGCCTATCATTTCAAAATCGCTTGCACAGCCCATCAAATTATGGTCAAGGGAGACCTGCATAGCTCAGGGAATGGTACACGATTTAACCACCTTTAATCATTTTTTTCTGACACCCATTGTAGTTGACTATCCCATCCTATATGAGAACAATAAAACTGGATACACTTACGTGTATTGCGCAAATAACTTGTAACATTTACCTTGAGAAATTTCTTTAGAAGAAACAGGATTTCTGTCAGGAGGAAAAGGTAAAAAATATTGAGCGTCAGCTGTGGAAATTAAATGACAAGATGACTTTCTCATTTTGCCCACGGTTTCTCTCGGCAGAAGGTCTGGTACTTTGTTGTTCTGATCTGCTACTGCTGAACTACTTTGAAACAGAGGAAGGAGGAAAGAACAGAAAAATACAATATCATAAAACCAGACCACATCTACTCAAACAAATTTTGGGAGATCAGAAGAACTGCACATGCATCTTTAATTATTAGGACTCTTAGTTTTCGCCTGGAATTACAAGATTAGTCGAGTGAGAGTACCTTAAAAGTACACAACACTGACCACAGAGCTGTCTGTATGCTAGTCCCTGCTCCTACTGAGATAAACACTCACAGAAGAGAAATTCTACCTGTAATTCAGGACATACACACAGGAAGAAACGTATCTCGTACAATTTAACATTGGAGTGATTGAGCAAACAAAATTAAGAATTTTCAAGGTGATGTCTCTCCAATTACAGGCAATTAATATACCTTGGTGGCTCACTCACAAAGCCAAAGACTCAAACTTACTATTCACTAACTTTAATGGCAAATATGCCATATGCCCATTAACTGCCAAACTGTTCTTAGAATATCTGACAAATTAATCACCAAATCATTAGGTCATTCAAATGAAAATTTTCAAGCACAAAACCAGCAGTCACAGACAGGATCTTGGAAGAAATGTAAAGGGAAAGCAGTGACTAAGTGCCATGACACTGGCACAGTCTATGTCTTGCACCAAGAATGAGATGATGTGTATCTTAACCATGCCTTCAAACAATTTACCGTTAAGGATTCTCATTCATAGCAAGTACAACCGTCTGCAAATACAAAAGCTCCTTATTTAGGAATGTAACTAAGTCAGAAGACATGATTATTCTTTTTTCTCTTCCAAATAATCTCTGCATTTCTGATACCTTCCAAACTGCTTCGGTGGTTCAGCTTTTCCTTGCTTATTCATTCCCACAGCCCCAGCTTCCATCACCAAAAAGTTAGATGATTCTTCCAAAACCTTGCCATAGGACCAATTAAAAAACAAACCAAAATCATATTCAGCAATAGATTAAAATTAAAAAAAAAACAACACAACATTAACTCGAGTAATTAAAAGCCTGCAGATTTTATTTTTGTACAATTTCTGCATAGTGAGGGTCCCTGGACACAACACGAAAAAAAAAAAAATCACAGGAAAACTTTGGAGAGCTAAGTTTTCCACATTTGGATGGAAAAGATAAAAAAATGCACCATTCTTTAATTAGGAATGATTTAGCTGTTGCTACTTTAAATATTTAACAGATCGCCAGCTAAACAAACCACTTTGGATCACTGTGAAGATTCATGAAGTCCTTTATTACATACTTACATCATCAAGGAACTCAATTTTCAAAGAGGACTCTGCACTTTCAGAAACAGTGATGGGTGCTTCCTCTCTAAAAACAGATGTCCAGTATCTCCTCACCTCTTCAGCTACAAAATACAGTTAGTTTGATACATTTCATTTTTTTCCTGTTCGAGATTCACTTATACAAATGTAAATTTTTTATTTATTAAGTACCACCATAAGTTTCTCCTTTCATTATTGTTACTTACTTTAAGCAGAAACTGCTTAAGTATGTAATTGTCCAGCAATCATAGCAAAAAAAACCCAAGAAAAAGTATTTAACAGTTAGATTCAATAAACAGAAGTCTAATACACCTGTTAAGTCATCAACAGCATCATCATCTCCTCCTCCCCCTCCTCCAGTCACAGCCTGAGGTACACTCAGCGTTTGCACAGGCCTTAAATCCTTAACGCAACTACCAGAAAGTTGACAGACAGGAGTTCTAAAAAAGGAAAAGAAACCAAAGTCATCATTTTTTATATATAATACCACAACCATTAAAAAAAAATAACCAAAAAAAACAAAGAACTGAAACACCACACTACTTACTGCAGCAGTATTAACTGCTGCTGCAAAGGAGCAGCTCTTTCTAATTTCATTGAGATGACCTCGCACCTCAGGGACTAACAAAACTACACTAATGTTTATAAAAATACCCTGAAGATCCTGCTTCCTTTTCTCTACAAAACTCCTCTAGCGAACGTCCCAAAATCAAGCAACCAAGTATCATTTCCAGACTTCAAACTCTGCACTTAACTGATAGCAAAGAGAATCCCTCCAACTACTACCTCTGCAGTAATTCTGAAATATTAAGTCACCAAGTCTGGTTATAATGGTTATTTTATTAAAATAAAGCACCCTCTATACAGTCACCTTAAATCTTGATAATATAGCTAATATTTTAAGTGTCCATGGAATTTTTGTTAATGCTATTAAGTATTTCTGACTCCTTTCATTAGTACCAGCAATTTCAACAATACCTTCGGTATTTCTTAAGCAAGAGTTTCTCCATGTAGCTCAGGCCATCCTTCTTGAATTCAACTTGGATAGGTTCCTTCGCAGCAGTAAGATTGGTCTGTACCTCACAAATTCCCACAGATCCTATTAAAATTATTTTAAAAAAAAATAATAAAAATGCAGCTATTCTGATTTCTAATCTTTCTGTTTAACTACGTTATTTTTGAATGAATGTCACATTAGTAGTCTGTGCCTAGCTAAGTCTTCGCAGAATTCCAAAAGGTAAAGGCCAGCAGTATTATATTTACACAACAGTCAGCAGCGGGCATAGCCAGTAAACACTCATTTATTACAGCTTCCCACATAAAGGAAGATTATTACATTGGAGGTGGGGGGAAATCCATGGCTCTACAGATAAAAATCCCGCCGCATCACAGGAAAGAAGGAAAAAAAAAAAAACAGTATAATATTTTTTTGTACATAAATACACAAAGAGCAAACACCATCCATGGACTAGAGGAAAAAGGCCAGCTTGCACAAATCCAACCAGACAAGAGGGTTTTTTCATGTTTTTCCATGCATACTTCAACCGATTGCATCTTTTCACTAGGACAAAGAAATATTAAGAGCCTGCGGAAGGCAAGAAGAAAATGTACTTGGATACAACACAGAAAATCCTGAGCCACATACGCTCCTTGTCTCAGTTAAAAGCTGTGACTTTATGCTTAAGCATTACATTAAAGTCTCATGTGAGACACAATGCCATAGGAAAGTGCAGGGATGGGAGCTAAACAGTCTGGACAAAGCCACATTTCACTACAAGAACTGGGATAAATGCCAATCCGCACAGTATTAAAAAAAAACTTCAGAGGTTAATTTGTTGTTAATTTATTAAGGAACATAGAGAGAAAAACTTTAGAAGAAACATTTACTATTTTAACAGAACATCTACCCACTTATCAAAAATCCACTAGCTCACCAGAATAGCTCCTAATGTTTCTAAAATGCAATTAAAACAGAAAAAAATCATACCTGATAGGACCTCATGGGCACCCAGTTGTTCTCTGTGATCACGACAACCTTTTCTCCATTGAAGCAAAGCTTCCTGAAAAGACTTTGCAGATTCCTCCTCATTAAATGCACCATTTAGTAACAACCCTTTGTCCTGATTTTCAAGGCCTGCACAGGTTGATTCTGAGGACAGTTCCTAAATCAGTTCCACAACACAATTAGTACAGCAGTTCTGGTGACAACCCTTTCCCCAGGTACATGCAACAGCAACAACATTTTCAGCATCAGCTATGGAAATGGAAACGCAGCACCCCGTTTTCTGGGCTTAGTCTAGCTGCTCTGGTAATCAAGATCACTCAGTTTTTATGTGGTCTTACTCAAAACTAAACTGCAATTTTCTATCAAGAGCAAAATAAGAAAAAAAAAAAGCTCGTGTAAGCACACACACACAAAAAAACCCCCAAACCATTTAACTTAAATGCCTTTGGCAGGCAGAAAGCAGCAGCCACGGACAGCCCACATCCTGGATGGGTATTGTGTCGACAGACATCAACGGGGTCAACGGGCTGTGCAAGTCTGACAGCCCAACCCCTCACCTGGCACACTGCGGGAAAACCCGGGGCCGCTCCACCTCACACGTCCTAAACAATAAAAAGGATTTAGGGTTTTTTTTCCCCCCAAACTTTATACTACCTCAGCACTGCCTACTGACGCTAGCAGAGACGAAAACTTGTCTGATGTGCCCTGATGCTCGCTATTTACTTCCTTCTGTCCATGATTAACTTTCGATGCATTCAGATCTGCTTCCTTCGTGAAGTAATCAACGACTTCCGATTTTCCAACACGTCTATCGGCTTTTGTCTGTTAAGGAAATATTATGAAACCATTAATTTATTATAAACACGCTCAAACATTCCACCAAGCTGCATATTAAAAGCAGGTAGGTAACCATATACTGCAGAGTGACGGTGACATAAGCACATAATAATTTCCAGTAATTAGTAGCGTGCAAACGTGTGAGCAAAAATTCAATAACGTGAGTATTCCATTAGATACTACACAGGACAGACAGTGAGGCATTTTATGCAGCACATCTCATTTACACAAATTCCTGAGCTATGTACTTTACTAACAAAGTTCTGCTTCCTGAAGCTTTTCAGTAGACAGAAGCACACCTGTAGAGGTTGACAGGAGGAAAATGTTCATTGAAGGGTCTAACTTCGCACATAAAAATAAATAATCCAGGGAAGTCCAAACTATAAAGAACCAGAGGAGTTTGAAATATAGCTACAGGAGGAGAATAACAGTTTTACTCACATTGGGAATTTATTGATTTGCAACCTCCATTAGAACCAAGAAAATTACCGTGGAAATGGAACATGAAGGTTTTGATTATCAACTCTTGAATGAACATCAGGAAAACCCAAAAATATTTTATGCTCATCCTTTCCCCACACCCCCTCCCTACGCACAGAGAAAGACCAGAAGGAAAGATCCTTTGCCTATAAAATCCTCCAGTAAGGCACACATCCTTACCACGAAAGCACAAGAGCAGTACAGGTAGAGGCAGAAAGTGCAATAGGAGTCACAGACGTCAAGCAGCCATGGCAAGACTAGAACGTACTCACAGCTCCTCCTCTCCACCTACTCCACACTACCCAGCAACTTTGCAGTTGCCGGTTGCACATTCAGTGGTACTTGTGACGTGCCAGCGAGCGTGCAGGGAGGCTAACTGCTTCAAACAGCCGTTACTTCTTCCTTTCGCAGTCTTCCTCCGATTCTTACACAGACATGCAGGATAAATGAGGTCCGAACACGCGTGCTTTGTCTTTTTTCTCAAACCTAATAGTCCATAATCATCCATAACTGATACCAATTCTTTTTCCTTCCCCAACGTCACCCACGCGTTGGTAGCACACATGGGGATCGCAGCAGCGCATGCTTGAAGCGGAAGAGGGGAACCTCTCTCTGTAACCGCCTTTCTCCTCAGCTCAGCCCGTTTCCTACGGCACACGCATTCAAAGTACATTGCTAAAGACTGTGCTGATTTGGTTTTCACTGCATGAAGAAAATAATCTTAACTTTACAGCAGAAGTTCACATTCCTTTGAAGGAGGTAATTTTATTGATGTAGCTTAGTACATCTGCTCTCCTTGAGCAAGCACAGTGGTGTTATATATGGTTCTTCTGGGTACCCCAGCACACAGTGTATAATATCAGATCAATATTTGAAAGGCTCACCCTGCTGTTTTATTTGTATAAACAACATGAGCCTCTTTATTGAGATTTCGCTCGATTGCTTCAAAATACTTGAGCAAGAATTGCAAAACTGATTTTAGAGAACACTTGCAAAGCTGATTTGTTCTGGCCTCATGCTAAATTTCCCAGCAGTCGAACTCTGGACACTAGTTCTCCCCTACTTCAATGCCTAATCAGCCTAAATTGGTTGGGGATCAAAACCATCCGCTCTCAAAGAAGCAGTCAGGAAGGGGGCAGGAAAAAGCCCAAGGAAGAGGCAACATGACCCACCGGGACAGCTGGAAAACACTGCTGTGGATTCTCACAACTAGAGCGATTGCCTTCAAATTTTCTATTGCATAATTTCTCTAAAAACAGCCTTTCCTCCTCACTCAGACAGCTAAACCTCTAAATCAAGAATTACATCACCTCACTTGGACTGTAACATCCTTTCCCCCTCTGGAATTTACAGCTACAGTTTTCTAGTCCAAACGCAAAAGACACCTTTCGCATCCCTACTTCCTGCACCCTTTCCTTAGCTCCCTTTATCTGTGGCAGTTTCTAATTCATTTCAGAGCAGGACTGGAGAAAAGAGGAAAGAAGACAGGGTTAGGGGGTGTGCGTGGAGAGAATCACGACAACTTAAGGAGGTGGAGTTCTCCTGATGCAGACGGAATGATCACAGCACTCCACGACTCTATGTTTAAAGCCTTGTATTCTTCCACTGAACCACTGTATGACCTTTAATCCCCACAAAGAAACTTCCCCATCTCAAACCAGTTTGTTTACCACCAACAATAAGGTGGGGTTTTTTTAAAAAAAAAACAAGGTCTGAAAGAGAATGCATACAAATGTCATGATGTATCATTACCTTACTCCTGCTACCACCCAGTTTTCAGTTCTAGGGTTAAAAGATCTGCTACAGTCTATTAAAAATATAAATCCTAAACAGTCTGCATTTAGACATGTCTGGTGAAATATTTTTATAGCCACGCAAAACAGCTCAGGGCAAAACTTTTCTATCCACTGCATAACTCAGGATAGCACATTGTCCCAAAAAGATTATTTATCCCTGGCTTTTCATTACTCACAGGATGGTGTATCCTGCTGTAACTGCCGGAAATCCTCACCTCATGTTCTTGTAATGATGTAATCTCTCTAGCAATATACTATAAGCAAGCACCATTTCAACAAGGATGTATTTATCAGATCAATAGCTTTAATAATTTACTGCATTACTAAAAGGATTCTATTTCTGGGAAGAACGAATGAGATCATCAAATAAATTTTAGTAGGATAACAGAATGACACATCCAGTCACATCATCAAAAAGTAAATTTTGCCTTCATGAAAATCTCACAGGGTAGAACTGAAATAGTTAAATCAACTTGCACTCATTCAAGACCCTACCTACGTTTTCTGTGTTTATGTCAGCTTGCATTCTCACAAGAAAGTAACTTTGAATCTTTGTAATCCTAACAACGAAGTGTGAATGCAAACATCTTCTCTGCAAAAGTTCCTGACATGGCTTCTCTTTGACTCATGAAGTCCAGCTATAAAACAGTCATCATTAACACAGAAAAGAAAGAAAATTAAAACAAGCTTAATAATACGTATTTGAAAAGGTATTTTAAAAGGTAAAACATGGCATTTATCAAAATCAAATTTGGAATAACATTAGGAGAACAAAACCAGTGGGTTTATCCAAAAGAAACGAAAATGCATGTACAATTAGGTCCAAAAAAAAGTTTTTACAACCCATTTATGAAATGCAATCAAACATTATGCATGAGAAATCTAAGTTCATTACAATTAAGTGCTATACAATAATTCTAAGAGGAAATTTTACTACTCTAATTATAAAATTATAAAATTTTTATTGTTCCATAACAGATACACAACAACGCTGTATGTTAGAAGCGGAATATTACAGCGCTGAATAATAAAACTACACACAACTTGAGTCTCCACTGTGCTGTATAGCGTTTTACTTTCGTCACAATTTATTCCTTTGTGAGTGGAATCCAAGTACGAAAGAATCAGGGATGCTGAAAGTGGCAACTGACAGAACAGACATAACAGTAAGTAGGAATTCAGAGTTTCAAGCTTCTTTATGCGTATATTTAAATTACTGGTAACATAGAGCGTTAAATATACTCACAAGGGTATATAACTGTCTTCGACGAATGGACGAACTCATCTGGCCATTTTTAGTAACTACAATTTTTTTTTTCTAAACTCCTTGACATCCAACAACTTGGAAAACTCTCAAAAAGTATCAGTATTGCAAAGAGCCTGCGTAAAAATCTCCTGAGCCAGCAATTTGTCACAAACTTCTAGCGCTACCATTCCTTCAATTTAACTCAGCTTCCCATGAGGCATACATAAACCCCTCCAGGCACAAGAACGGAGAGCATGACTTTTTTCTCACTCCGTATTGCAATAAAACAGCGATGCCATTTGCTTCTGCGAAACCTTTAACTGAAAAACTTTCTACTGAATAAGAAAGTCACCTGTGAGAGCGTGAAAGTAACCCCTTTGCAACGTAAGCAGCGCTAAAACAGCGCCTTGTCCTAATCTCACAAGCGCTATTCATGACCTACGGACTTCCCGGAATCGGGAATTAAGGGCCCAGAAGCAGCTTCGCCCAATGGGGGCGGCGGGCAGTAAGGAAAACGCAAATCCTGGTTCCGTTCCCCATGCCAGCCACGCTCTCCAGCCCCCCCGTTCCTGCGAACGTTTGAACAGAACAGGCGAGAGGCGCAGCCGGGGCCGCGCCCCCAACACGGGGGGGATCAGCAGC